CTGGCCATGCCCGCTCCCCTGGCCATACCCGCTCCCCTGGCCGCTCCCGCTTCCCTGGCCATACCCGCTCCCCTGGCCGCTTCCGCTTCCCTGGCCATACCCGCTCCCCTGGCCGCTTCCGCTTCCCTGGCCATACCCGCTCCCCTGGCCGCTCCCCTGGCCGTAACCGCTCCCCTGGCCGCTTCCGTGACCACTTCCACTTCCCTGACCATGACCGCTCCCCTCGCCATGGCCGCTCCCCTGGCCATAACCGCTCCCCTGGCCGCTCCCCTGGCCATAACCACTCCCCTGTCCGCTTCCGTGACCACTTCCACTTCCCTGACCATGACCGCTTCCCTCGCCATGGCCGCTCCCCTGGCCATAACCGCTCCCCTGGCCGCTCCCCTGGCCATAACCGCTCCCCTTTAAGCTGGGCCTGAATTTCGGCGCGGGTATTGCGCATTATTCTGCACATTCCTGCAGCTTTCGCGTTTATAATGCGGGAAATTCTCGCAAACATTCTTTTGCTCTATAGAATGTAGGTTGAATCCAAACAGATTATCAGAGCAGTTCAGTCATTTTAAAACTTTCTGTGAGATGTAGGCTAATTTCACAAACAGTGTGAGTAATTCAGCAGTACATCTCTCTCTGTCTCTGTCTCTCTCTCTCTCTCTCTGTCTCGCTCTCTCTCTCTCTGCACAAATGGCCTCACATCCATAGTCCCCCCCCCCCTGCTAGCAACAGTTAGCAGTGTCACCACATTACTATCATCACTCAAAATACTGTATGCTAAAGGACATCCATATAATCTGTTGAAAAGTAACAGTAGTAATTTATAGAGTTGGGGTACTCGGACTCGAGTCCGGAAATGTCCGAGTCCAACCGAGTCCAGGGACAGTTGACGGAAACGTCACTGACTCGATGCATTATCACGAAAGTGATATTCAGTATTTGCATGTGTTTTTAAGTCTTGTCCAGTACTTGAAAGCCGACGGGTTTCTGTGCTCACACACCGAAATCGCGCTCACAGAATAACGCGTCTCTCAGTCAGCGTGCGAATGCAGAGTTCGCACTATAAAATACATTTATTGCATCATGAAATGTCTGTAGTAGGCTATTTCTGTAGAAGACTTTACTAGACTATCTGAAAAATTGTTTTTATGGGTCCAAAATCACCTTGGGTGTGCATTATTTTCTAAAAATTCAACGGCCCTTCATCTCTTAGCCTATTCCTTACATAATGTAATTAATGTAACTATAAATGCATTAAAAAATAAAACTGGTGTGAGTTGGCTGTGACTTATGGAAAGTATATGTAGGGATTTTATACACAGTGTGTGCCATTGTACAGACCAGGTTTATCCCTCACAGCCTCATTTTCATCCAAGAAAAAATTCAAAATGCCCTGTCTAAGGGGTCCGTGTACTGTGGCGTCCATTTATTTTTTGTTTTTTTAACCCAGAAATTAAACTGCGGTTTCTTCTTTAATGGTTCAAACACTGATGAATAGAGTAAGCAGACACAAACTAATTTTGATTTTTCAAAATTCATATTTCATTAAAAATTGTAAAAATGATATAAAGCTCGTTTTTTATTGAGATAAAAGGTGCATTTCCTGCTCTTAAGGTCCCATTCACCAAGATACCCCCACCCTTGAATTTATACATTTATTTTAACAATGAATAAGGTCAAATCCCGCCCTTTAATTTTTCACATTCTAAAAC